TTAGGCATCAGTATAAAGTCCTCAGAACCATCATCGGACCGGTGCAGTGGGTCCTGGCCTCCTCATGGTTCCCAGCCTCGTACGACTGGCCCTCGTTTTCTCTGTACCTGAATCCATCTGAGCATCTCTGGGACATTATGTACTGATGCATCCAACGCTGCCACCATAGACTGTCCAGGAGCTCACTGATACCATGATCCAGGTCTAGAAAGAGATCCCCTAGGATACTATCCGCTGTTGTCTGGAGTGCGTACAGGCACGAGGGGACTATCGACATCACTGAGTTACATTATGAGTTGGAACAGGCTGTGATTTTCATTTTTCACTTTGATTTTTGGTGGGATTTTGAATCCACCGCTCAGTGGGTTTATGGTTTTGGTTTCCACTGACTGTTCTTACATCATCTTGTTCTCAATGACCTACACAGTGTATATCAATGAAGATCTTTAACTAGTCATCGGGCTCTGATGTGAGATGCAAGTGCTCCCCTAATGTTTTTTTTGAGCAGCGTATTTCTTTTTATGGCACCAGGTCTTTACTTGCTGTTGGTATTTCTGCTGTGTCTTTTCAGATCGACGCCTTCCAGCACATGCAGCATTTCGTTCAAGGGGTGCAGCAACAAGCCCAACATGCCATCGCAGCCGAGGACCATCAACGCAAGCAGGAGCTCCACAAACTGATGGCGAGGTCAGTCCCTTTGTGGAAGCAGCTCACCACCTTATGCAGTTTTTCATGGAGGACAAATGCAAAGAATAGAACGAAGAATGGGTGGATTCCATTTCGGCTCCAGTCATTGATCGTGCTGCAGTTTCAGACGATGGCAGCAGCAACAGAGTCCGACTCAGTTGGGTTTAAAAGTTCTTTGAAGACCCAAGAATTTCAAATAATGGGAGTACTTCAAATAATCACAGAACGAAAAGGGGATTTATACTCTGCAGGTTTTGGGTGGCGTATCGCTGCAGCACCCGACCAGAAAACACAGAGTAGCTGTTTGGCACGGAGCGCCCGACATCTGTTTGCTTTTCTGCTGCTCTCTGCGCACACATATGCTGCTTTAATGTAGTGAATTCTCAAACAAGCTACTTTCATTTACACACGTTTCTGTTTCTGTTGTCAGACAACAGAACAAGCATGAAACCGTGACTGAACTGAAACGTGGCTCGTTAGGACTACAGGTTAGCGGCAGTTACATCCAAGCTGCTGCTCTGCACCACACACAGGTTAAAGACTGTGCTGAGGATTCAGAACTGCTACCAAAGTCAGAGAGCAACACAATGAGGAGACAAGAAGTGGCTTTAGTTGATCTGTGCTTGTAAAATATCCACCATGTTTTGTTTAATATATAGTGTTGGAGTTTAAGTTTCACATTGCATTGTTGGAGGAAAATTTATCGTTTAGATCAGGTAATGACTCTATAGAGAGGTAATAGAAAATAAGTGGCACCACTGTTCAGTACCTGTAACTATTACCGGTCTCTGTACTCCCTTTCTAGCATGATAGCAAAAACCCAAAGCAACATGCTGAAGCAGGGAAAAAGTAGCCTCACGTATATCCTGCTCTCATGTTGTAAACACACAGGGTCATGTACAGTGCATTCTGCTTCTTTTCCATGAGCATGACCCAATCTGGCATAACACCTTTTACAAGTCACTTGGCGTCCTGTGATCGTTTTCAAGGCTGCCCAGATTCCCAGAATGTCTCACCTCAAACTTCTCAATATGATCCTCTTGGCGGTACGTATGGCACCGCGTGGCCTGTGGTTATCGCCGAGTGCATCTCCTTCACAGTGGATGTTGAAGCCTGACTTCAATGTCCTGATAATGATTACTTTATGAAGAGTTTTCTGCACAGTGTTCATGTAGGTCAGATAACTCCAAACAAGCAGGAGGTGTAACACGGGAGCAGGCACATATAATCCTACATACAGTAAATCACACAGCGGTGTCATTTGGACATGTGCACATTACACAGCTTATCCTCCTGTCTCGTAAATCACACATGACAACACACAGACGTGACAACAGGTAGAAGGGGCTTTTTTCATTCTTGCATCGTCCACACAGCGACTCTGGCTGTCTGTGGAATGCGTGTGAGGGAAAACACCTGTATCAAGTAAGTCAGGACTGGTTCTGTCCAGACATCCTGACACACTTTTGTGAATACAGGTCGTCTACGTGGTATGGAGCACACCTGGACTGCTCAGCGAGATGCTGGATTCACACAGTCACATGGACGCCTCCAGTCTCTCACAAAGAATCTGCTGTCATGTCACTGATACTTTACTTTGGATCAGCAACAACAAAAACTTGTTGATCCGAGGTCCCCAGATGCCCCCGTCCTCCTCCTCCTCATGTCTTCCACAAAACTCGAACCTGTTCAATCCTTTGCAGGAGACACTTTGGCATGGACACAATGAACCCAAACCCAAAGCAGCCAGAAGAAATTACGTAATCCCAAAATGCAGTTAGTTGGAGGTGCTCTTCAAACAGTATTCACACCACTGATGGATGAGTTGACAACACAGCGCTTGCCAGTGGCTGGGTTTAGTGTAGCTCAATGTGAATTATGCGTCTTTGCCCTGCCAAGCTCAACCAGCCTGACTTTCGCCTACATGCATCTGTTTACGGATGATGGATGGAGCTCGGCGATCCTCGGGGATGCCACAGAGCTCGCTGTCGGGTTAGATTAAGAGGAAAATTGGTTTGGATAATTGAAAATCTCCAGATGTGATCCCACAATCTTTCAGCAGACAAACGCACTGCTGCCGTAGGTAGCGATACTCTTGATAAATGCCTGCAAGATTTACAAGTATTGTATCATTTTCCAGCTCCCTTTTTTAATAAACTGCCTTCGGATTTACTGAATGTCAACTCTTTATAAGCCATGACAACTAGAGCAGGCTTATAAACTCATGAAGACGTTTCTTTCTGGCTCGTCCTGACCGTGCATTTGTTTTGCTGTTGCTAATGCAGTCAGTTACCATTACAGAGCTTCTGTTAATGGCTTTCACCTCTGATCTCAGGAACTTTTATGGTCTATAAAAAGTTTTCATCTTTTCTGTTAAATGCCAGAAAATGTCTGAATTCGTATTATTTACTAAAAGGCTCGTGTGAGGATTTCTGTAAATAAATGTGATGTGTAACTACGACATTTTGAGTAATTTGGGTTAAAGTTTCAGACTAAACCTCCAGATCTTTTGTCTTTTCTTTTCCTCCGTGCAGATGCTTCTTGAAGCTGGGTGAATGGCAGCTCAGTCTGCAGGGCATCAACGAAAGCACCATCCCCAAAGTCCTGCAGTATTACAGCAACTCAACAGAGCATGACCGCAACTGGTACAAGGTCAGTCCCTCCCTCTCAACTCTGACCTTTCACTTTTGACTTCCCTCTGTCTGCAGTAAAATCCCAGCTGTGTAGGATACTGACGTGTCTCCGGGGAAACCCTAGACTCTCTGTTTTATTGTGCTTTAGCCAAACATGTCATAACACGGTGGTTTGTTCAGCTTTTGTTTTTTTGTCTGCACGGCTCATTTCTTTACGATAATTAGATTGTTATGCTTGCGGTTCTTCTTCTTCTGACACATCAAAGACACGAGGAGATGGAGGAGCTAAGGACGTCTCTGGTTTTTCTTGTGCCACAGAGATGTCCTCACACTTCAGCCATCTTCACCAACTCCCTTCAGTTTCTTAATAGCTCATTGCATAACACGGCAAACATCAGATTCATATGTTTGGATCAGAAACCTTACAGTCCCCTGGGAAATATCTGTCCCGCAGTACACTGATAAATTACGTCATGGATAAATGTGGAAGTTTTTTCCAGTCAACAGCTCTTGGAAACCAGTTTCACCCAGTGTGTTCCATCTTGTCGGCAGGCCTGGCACGCCTGGGCTGTGATGAATTTTGAGGCCGTGCTGCACTACAAGCACCAGAATCAGGGGCGCGATGAGAAGAAGAAGCTGCGACACGCCAGCGGTGCCAGCGCTAACAGCGAAGCCAGCAACAGCGACAGTGAGGTGGACAGCACCGATCACAGTCCTGTGCCCTCACCTGGCCAGAAGAAGGTCAACGAGGTGAGAGCCACAGGAAATCCGCATTCACAGCCCTTTTCTCCCAGCAAGGTAGACATCTTCAGTTAGAGTATAGTCTATATGGCCCATGTGGTGTTTAAAATGACTGACCAGCTACAGATCCCAATATACACACACATACTCATCACTACGTTTTTTGTTCCTGCTTTCTTTACAATTACAAAACAATAAAACAAACCTGAAGCATTTGAGGTGACAAGTGGAACATTGACCTTACGCCAGACGAGGTATTATTATTCTTATTTGAATTCTCAGAACGTTCAAAAAGTCTGCCCGGTTATTGCTGTTTCCAGTAATAATAAAATTCAGGATTTTAGCCTGTCCAGACCGCACCACACCCACCCACAGCAAACATCCACGGTACAGTACATTCCTCAATATGTTTTTTTTTTTGTTCTTGTCATGCATTGAAAGCATATGTTGCGTGCCGTCCCTCTGCAGGACCTCTCCAAGACGCTGCTCCTGTACACGGTTCCTGCCGTTCAAGGCTTCTTCCGATCCATTTCACTGTCTCGAGGAAACAACCTGCAGGATACGCTCAGGTGAGTTAAATGACTGTAACGCACACCGAGTAAATAGCCCAAGCAACCGAATGGCAACCATATACCTGTGCACCCAGCAGATGTGTTATGTGAGGGTAGGGCGCCCTCTGGTGGCTGATTTTGAATGCACTCCGTGGTCATTGGACACGATTGTGATTCTGTCTGTGTTTCTGTGTTTTTAAACTGCTCAGGGTTTTGACTCTGTGGTTCGACTACGGTCACTGGCCTGAGGTGAATGAAGCTCTGGTGGAGGGCATCAAGACGATTCAGATAGACACCTGGCTACAGGTAAGACATAAACACACGATTGGTGTAGCGTTAGCCGAAACATAAACAAGTGTGATAGATTCCTGCAACAGTGAGACGATTTGAGTAAAGATTTAAAACCACTGTGTTCGGTGTTACTGTGAATACTTTCTGTGTTGTTGCCATGCTTTAGATTTCACAAGTTTTTTCTCTGTGCCTGTTCAGGTGATCCCTCAGCTCATCGCTCGAATCGACACCCCCCGAGCCCTGGTGGGTCGTCTCATCCACCAGCTGCTAACAGACATCGGACGGTATCATCCCCAGGTACGTCTGTTTAGAGATTCTGTTTTACAGTATAGACCAGAACCCACGTTTTAAATTAAAACCTTGTCATTGTTCTCTGTTCACCTCCAGGCTCTGATCTACCCGCTGACTGTGGCCTCCAAGTCCACCACCACCGCCCGCCACAACGCTGCCAACAAGATCCTGAAGAACATGTGTGAACACTGCAACACTCTGGTTCAGCAGGCCATGATGGTAGAGACACTGAATAATTTATATTAACCTATACAATATAATCATCTCCATCCATATAGAAAAAAGGCCAAGGGTTTGGTTCTTAGGGTTAAGTGGGAGCTTAGTCTGGTGTTGCTGGTCTAGTATTCTTGTATGCTGTTCACCCATCCTATCTATAGATGCCTGTCGATGCCTTTCAGCACCAGGTAAAATAAATAAAGCAGAAAAGCTGCAGCGTTAGAAATGTTGTCTGTCTCTGTGCTATCACACAAGCTTTAAGAGGCTTAAATTAGTTCTCCTGTTTTCTTTAAAAATGGCAAATTTTATGTTTTGTATCTAGAAAACATGAAATGATCCAAAATGTTCATATTGCCAGATACTAGATGTTTTACATTCCTGACGTTTGGGATACCAGAACCCAGTCTGACCTCTTCCCGTTTTGTTTTTCTTCCTCCAGGTGAGCGAGGAGCTTATCCGAGTGGCCATCTTGTGGCACGAGATGTGGCACGAGGGCCTTGAAGAAGCTTCGCGTCTTTACTTTGGCGAGCGCAACGTCAAGGGCATGTTTGCTGTGCTGGAACCGCTACACGCCATGATGGAAAGGGGACCACAGACCCTCAAAGAGACCTCCTTTAACCAGGTTTGTGCAGGGATCTTAAGCTGCTGAACTCAGAGCTCAGTACTGATTGGCTGGATAGTTTGTCATATTGGCTGGAAATTATTTTCTTAAGCTGCTGTTGTTGTTGACATTCTCTGGAAATGAATTAAAATGCCTTTTATCTGCCTTTGCTAATAAAAAGAAATGCACAATGAAATATATATTAATCACAGTAGAAAACTGATGTTTATTGCCTTGGCTTTCACTGAGTACACGTGTCGTCTCGCTTCATGCTGCAGGCTTACGGCAGGGACTTGATGGAGGCTCAGGACTGGTGCAGGAAGTACATGCGCTCTGGAAATGTGAAGGACCTGACCCAGGCCTGGGACCTCTATTACCACGTGTTCAGACGCATCTCCAAACAGCTGCCCCAGGTTAGTGGTCAGCATGTGTGTGTAAATCTCTTACTGCACTGACGGCTACCAGCGTGTGAACTGTCCATGTGCCATTATGTGCCACTGCTGCTTAAAACAAATGTTTGCTATGAGGCCAGAATATACAAGGACACACTCAGCCACCCATAGCCTGATTCATCAACACTTGTAGCTGAAGTAGTTGCTGCAGGACTTTGAAGGAGCTTTGAGCCCAGACACAGTAGGTGGTTCTAAATTCTCCAGACATCCTGATCTATGTCAGCCCATCGTGCTTGACACATCTTAGGATTAATCACTGACACACTGCTACAGCACGATCTGTGAGAAGCTGCTCGTCGTCGGCCTCCTTCCTCCTCGCGAGACGATGGGTTGCACCGTGTTCGGTCACTTGGACGCTTCTTGGCGTGGCTAAACAAGCCGATGCGGGAGTGGCAGTCTGTTTGGCATGAAGAACAGATGTGTATGGAGGCCTCTCGATCTTGTTGGGAAGACTTGAGTGTTTCCCTCTTTCGCCTTAGATGGGCACTGTGTGACATCTCGGCTTGTTTTGTATCGCTCACAACAGCAGCTTTCCAGGAATCTCTTGACTCAGCGGTGGTCTCCCAGGACTGGACGCTGATCCCAGAGGTTTTTATGTCTTGCTTGCAAGCGTCTTGGGCGACCTCGAGGTCTAGAGCCTTCTGACAACTCGCTGACAACTTCCTCCTTCCTCTGTTCAACATAAGGGGCGATCCGACCATCACGCATGCATCCGCTTAGCTTTTGCACACAGATGCATAAAAAGGGAAGTGGCTCTAAACATCACAGAAACCTTTGTCATGGTGGTCGGTTGCTTGGTAGCCCGTAGTCCCCAGTATCAAAGAGTAGGACAACGAGGTACAGCTTACTGAAGCTTTAGAGCAAGGTTGGTGACCACCTACAGAACATTAAAGAACAGCTAATCAGTTGTCAACCATTGGATTGGACATTAGAATTTAATAACTTTATGAACTTGGTAGAGTGTAATATCTAGATAAATGGTACTGGATTGGGACGAGGTATCGACAGAGTGTTCTTCAACAGTTGTTCTGGTGGATTAATCGTAGAAACTGGACCTGCTTGAGTTCCTTGAAGATGTTCCACCTCTCATCCAAGAGGCTTCATCAGCTCTGACTGACTAGTTGGGAGTTCCAGACACTTATATCCTGAAGGAGCCATTAACACTAAGTTTGGGGGGTTTGTTGCTCCTCCCCCTCGTTATGTGAGTTGTTAGAGCTCCCCCTGACACAATGGGGTTCGATAGGGTTTGTTGTGGCTAGGTGTGGATGTGGATTCATCTTCCTGGGGAGAGATCTTCAGACTGAGTTGTAAACAGGTGAGAGGTGATGCCTCAGACCTCCACCTCTGTTGAGGGATGGTCTTTCCAGTTTGACAATGACCATCACCAAACATCTTCAAGAAACTCAAGCAAGTCCAGTTGCTATGATTGAACTATGAGAATAACCAAAACCTGGATGACTGAGAGTCTTCACAGACGTGGGAACAGCTAGAAACTGTTTGGAACTCAATAACAAAAGAAAAGAATGACAGCAAGAATGCAGCTGATATCAAGGCCAGAGGAGGAAGATTTTTGGGTATTATGTGTAAAAAGGGACTATTTAGTTGTTTCAGTTTGTTATTTGCCAAATAAATAACAACAACATTTTTTTGTTATTAAATAGATTGTGAAAGTTTTCTAAAATATTTGTGTTTTCTCGTTTTCATGACCTGTGGTGTCATAAATCTGTTCAGCGCTCTGTATGAAAGCTTTCTAGACGATATCTAGCCAAGAAAACAGGCACTCCAGCCTAAACCAATGACTCTTTATCTATGCTAACATATGTAAATCAGAGAAATGAGGTTGAAAAGAGTTTGCTGAAGCAGCACGTCTGCATGGCTCCTGCAGAAATTCGAGCTGACATCCCACCACTTCCATTCTAGTCTCTCATCTGATGCGATGGGATATATTTTGCACTTCGTGGTCATGTGAAGTGTCATTAAGGAGAAGAAATGCTGCACACATGGTCACTGTGTTTCAGCCAGCAGATCAATCGACGGGATAAATATGAAGAAACCAGGGATTTGTTTTACTGGTTGAAGTTATTCAACAACATGCCAGAAGTAGTGTGGAAAGATGGTGATCATGGAGGTCCAAGAGTAATCCCTCCTTTTGTTGTCATATCCAGTTTAGCAACAAGAGTGATATGACGTTGTGATATCAGGTAAATTCACACAACAGGAGAAGGTTTTTGTGACATGGACTCTACAAGCTGCAGCTACTTTAGTTCAGGGGTGTCCAATCCTGGTCCTCGAGAGCCCCTATCCTGCATGTTTTAGATGTTTCCCTCTTCCAACACACCTGATTCAAATGAGCAGCTCATCATCAAGCTCTGCAGAAGCCTGATAACGATCCTGATCGTTTGAATCAGGTGTGTTGGAAACATCTAAAACATGCTGGATAGGGGCTCTCGAGGACCAGGATTGGGCACCCCTGCTTTAATTCGTCTAGTCCTGACCTGTCTCTTAGCTTTCACAGACAGGAGCGTTGTTCAGCCTTATACACAGCTGTCACAAAGAACGGCTGTTTCTGAATCTCTGCAACTCTTTCAGCATCTTCCAAAAATACAGCTCAACTCCTTTTTCCTCATCGGAGATTTCAGTGTCTTAATAATTCAGTAGTTGCCTTTGCTTTTTACATATCAAACCCTGCATATAGGATATTCTATTATTATATATAAACACTGCGTAAGTGAAGCCAGATCATTTGTTTTCACTTGTGAAGCTGTTTGCGGTCAGTTATAAAGCACTTTGGTTACAGCATCACGGCTACAAACTTTCCTGGATGCTTGGAGATGAGATTGAACTGATGGATGTCATTCCTCACAGCTATCATCACGTTGTTGAAGAGTGACATTAAAAATAGTTCTGTCAGCAGCTCTCACTTCACATAACAAATGGAGACGGCGATGCTATTTGACGTCGTAGCATGGGCCTGCTCTTGGGGACGCCCCCCCTGCTGGGACATTACAGCACGCAGCATGAAATCCACAGCCACATAATAACATGCTGGGAGCAGAGCAAATGTTCCCCCACAGGGCATTAACATAGAAATAAACCCACTCCAGGATTCATGCATTGCAGCACATCCAGAGCAGGCCGGGGCTGCAGCCGTACGTGGTAACCAGATATCAGCATTCAGAATTGAACCATGAAGGCCTTCAAATAATCTGCTCGACTCAGATGTGATGCAGTGACTAATGGCTGAATGCTGACAAGCAGCAAATGCATTTAGAAAGTGAAATGTTCCAGAGTAATTTAGAAAAGATTGTGCATAAACAACTGTTTTTTTAAAGATAAAAACCATGTCTTGGGTATGAGCCAGTGTCTGGTTCAATGTGCTTTAGGCGCTGTTGGCAGACGCTGTTGGGTCAATATAGCTTTTGCACACAACAGACTGAAAACACATTTTCTCTTCCTGCGCTACATTCGCACCTCTTCCACTTTCCCCCCACAGCTGACCTCCCTGGAGCTGCAGTACGTGTCTCCTAAGCTGCTGATGTGTCGGGACCTGGAGCTCGCTGTGCCTGGCACCTACGACCCCAACCAGCCTATCATACGCATCCAGTCCATCGCCCCCTCCCTGCAGGTCATCACCTCCAAGCAGCGCCCACGCAAGCTCACCATCATGGGTAAGATGTGAAGAAAGCTGCGCTGGCCTCGTGGCCCGTTGCATTAAGAAAATAGATTAAATAATATCTCTGGTTGTGTGCTTCCAGTCGGCATCGGCCATCACATTAGAGAAAATCCAGTATTAATAGAACCTTTATCAGAACAATAAACGGCTCCAAGGCCACGGCTAATACTAAAACTTCCTGACCAACAGAAACCAGCAATACGCTGAATGCAAAAATAAATTCCAGGCTCAGCGGCCAGTAGTCATGTTTTTTTCCTTCTGTGTCCTCAGAGAAATACACAGATCAATATGTCAGGACCCCTCCCAGCACTGTTCATTGGCATTAAACTGAACACAGATATAAATAAGTCTGACACTTTGTGCCCTGCTCTGCTGTATGATATGAAATATGATGGTGAAGTACTTCTGAAATGGCACAGCACCATAAAGTCACCTTGTCTCGAAGCCAAATTCGCACATTATCAATCACAAGCGGTCCACTCTGCTTCACACTTTTTCGCTGGACAATGCGACACCTTGTTCTGATGTATCCCATCAGTGTTACACAACACACTCTGTAAAAGATGATAGCCAATAAATCAACTGACCTCTGGAGCAGGACTTCAGATTAAGACCTGTCACCCACTGCAGGCGCCTTAGATTTACCGTCGCTGCTTTGTCCCCCTAGTGGCACGCAACACATTGCTTTCTGGGATTGTCATTAGAGGTGGATTCAGGATGGAGCAGGGACTTTGTTTTACTCTTTCCACTGCAAGGATCAGTTTACTGCATCGAAGGCACTATGGCAGCTACACTGTTGGTGAAGTAGTGGAGCAATTAGATAAGTGACGTCAGCTGCGCTTCAGATTGGTTGAATACTGTCATCCGGAAAACTTAATTCCATTTAAGAGGACTGAGATGATGTCACAGTTCCTCCAGTGCCTGTATGCATACAGACATGTTTTCCACTCAACGAGAATTGATGGGAAAAAGCTTTTCTCTGCTGTATAATACACAACCTTTTTTGAGTGCCGCTCCGAACCGAAGGGTGACCACGAGGCAGGGGATTACTGGGACAAAGCCTGTTTTACACAAACCATCACCTCGCAGCTAGAAGGTCACCGGTTCACGTCCCAGTGAGGACACCCGGGATCTTTCTGTGTGGAGTCTCCATGTTCTCCCCGTGCAGCGTGGGTTCTCTCCGGGTTCTCCGGCTTCTTCCCACAGTCCAGAAACATGCTGAGGTTAATTGGTGATTGTAAATTGTCCGTAGGTGTGAATGTGAGTGTGCTTGGTTGTCTGTCTCTAAGTGTAGCCCTGTGATAGACTGGTTACCTGTCCAGGTGAACTTGCCTTCACCCTGAGTCAGCTGGGATAGACTCTAGCCCCCCATGACCCTAGTGAGGATTAAGCGGTGTATAGATGATGGATGGATGGGATGGACAAACCAGTGCCTATCCTGCCACAGTGTTTAGGTGGATGGTACATCAAATCAAATCAAACTTTATTTATGCAGCACTTCTCATACATAAGAGCAACACAAAGTGCTTTACAACATTAAAAACATTATCAAAGAAGGAAAACAGAAAAAAAGACAAGAAAACCCGTCCCCCCCAACCCTCCATGTACACACATACACACACACCCACACACACACACACACTCTCACCACTGACCGTAGGGAGGTATGGCACCTAGGCTCATGGAAAACGTCACCATTGGGGCCGTCCACACCAGGAGGCGTCGCAGACCATGACCACTGGGGGCGCCGGCACCCGGACCCCCACACCGAGGTGGGGAGCCCCTCATCTAGCCGGGCTGAAGGGGCCCGCAGACAGCCCCCAGTGTGGAGGACCCCCCTAAGGAAACACTGGAGTTAAAAACTAAAAACTTGAAAGTATAAAAGGCCTGATGTAAGATAAAATGAAAATTAAAAGAGTAAAATACACAAGAATGTCAAAACAACGTCCACATGAATGTGAGAACTCAAGGCTTCCCAGCATAACACTGTCACCAGATAATCAGTTGGAGCTGCCGCAGTCGGTCTAATTGTCGGACAAAAGTGAACTGACGTCGATATTTTCTGACAAATCAATGTTTTTTTCATATCACCGGGTGTCATTCAGTTTTGGCTCCAGCTGTTTGCTTCTCTGCTGCTCCGTCACATGTGTTTTACTACATTATAATACAGTCAAATCCCCACGAAGCAGTTCTCGTTTACACATTATTTCTGTTTCTGTTGTCACACGATGGAGTAAATATTAAACACTGACTAAAGCATGAGGACTACATGGTAACCAAGCTGCTCCTCTGCACAGCTGAAGTCCTGCTTTTAAAACCACAGGTCCTCAAACTCACTTACAGATAATGGCTGTGCTGGGAAATCCACAAACTGACTATTATGTGACCAGTTGTTAAAGTTAGTGACGGATTAATCAGCAGAAAAGTAATTATTATTGGTAGATCTGTGCTCAGTGTTCTGCGCGTCACTGGTCAGTAGTTTTAACGTCAGGACTGTGGAGCATGTATGAAGTTATTTATCGCCTTACCTAACACTACTTTAAGAGACGCTAATGGAGATGCAGCTGCAGAACAGCAGGAGAGCCCCCTGGAGGGAAGCCGGTCCTGCCAAATCCAACCAGATGACGACTTCTTTTTTAGAGAATGATTCAACTTCCTTTGAGCGGTGCATCAGCGTTGTGTTTTCCCATCTGCAGGTAGCAACGGCCACGAGTTCATGTTCCTGTTGAAGGGCCACGAGGACCTGAGGCAGGACGAGAGAGTCATGCAGCTGTTCGGTCTGGTCAACACGCTGCTGGCCAACGACCCCGCGTCCTTGCGCAAGAATCTCAGGTAGACGCACGTTCTAGGTCACGTCCTCACTCACAACTCAAAGGGACAGAAAGTTTTACACCTCTGTGTGTGTCTATGTGTGTGTTGAATCCATCAGCATTCAGCGCTACGCGGTCATCCCCCTGTCCACCAACTCAGGCCTGATTGGCTGGGTGCCCCACTGTGACACCCTGCACGCCCTCATCAGAGACTACAGAGAGAAGAAGAAGATTTTGCTCAACATTGAACATCGCATCATGCTCAGGGTGAGGAAGCAGACGTGGCAGCAGCAGTGTTTGTTTCCATCGTCGGAGCTCCGTTTTCTCAGTTTGGAAAGTTTTGTAGCATCAAGACGCAGTTACGAGATGGAATTTAAACGTGCTGTCTTATTAAATATTAAATATAGATTCATGTGCTCCCGTGTTAATTATCTTTTTATGCCAATAGTGTCTGATCCATGAAATTTGTTATTTTCATATAAAATCGTCCCTCTGTTTCTTACCTTAAACAAATGTAAAGGAGAAGCTTTCTGGTTATTTGCGGGGAGCTCCCCTGTTTATATCACTGGAAACTTAAGAATCAACGACTTTCCTACACTGGGATGTGCTCATATCAAGTTTGAAGTTGGTTCATATTACAGCACAAACACAGTGTTGATGACTGAGGCCCTCTTTATCGCCTTATGAGTTCCCTTTAGAGAGTAGTGGGAGTGTCAACACTTTCTGTAGACGTACAGGATAAAGATTTCTGTCAAGACATCCAAGTAAAAAATAAAGAAAATATTTCAAAAGGTGTGACATACAGCACCAGGCCCTCAGCATTTATCAGAATATTGTATAAGACGATAGATTCCTAATTGCTGAGCAGACGGACGTTTTATGAATCACAATTTCTTTGTTTAACTGGGGATTGGAAAGGAGTTAAAGAATTTCGACCGTGTATTTCAGATGGCCCCAGACTACGACCACCTGACGCTGATGGAGAAGGTGGAGGTGTTTGAACACGCTGTGAACAACACGGCCGGAGACGACCTGGCCAAGCTCCTGTGGCTCAAGAGCCCCAGCTCTGAGGTGAGGCGCTCCACGGTGTCGCTCCGTCAGCGGTGGGAAGGATGATGGAGGGTCAACGGTGCTCGATTATAGAACAGATAATGTGTAAAATGATCCCAATAAGATCACATGTTGCTAATGAGCTGGTGGTCATTTTGAAAAGGCTGATATCAGGGAGATCTGTCCTGGTTCTCAGTCCAGTGTGTTGCCTTTATGACTATGTAGAAAAATGCAGTTTAAAGCACAGTTTTTCTGGGTTGTTTTCCTACTTTGGCAGTACTGACGCTCAGGATTTCATTGATGGAACTTCAAAGAGAATCAGTTTTGAGGAACATTAGCACTTTGTTTACCTGATGTTCTACATGTTCAGGTGTTTGTAAAGATGTTTTTATCCTGCCGGAGATTTCTGTTCCGTTTTCCACAATATTCTGCTGTAATGACTCGTTTCTGATTATGTGGTTTCTCCTCCAGGTGTGGTTCGACAGAAGGACCAACTACACCCGCTCCTTAGCTGTGATGTCTATGGTGGGCTACATCCTGGGGTTGGGTGACAGGTAAGCTCCTCATCTAAAAGACTGAAGTCACACTTAGACATTATTCTGAATAGATTGTTAGAATAAAACTACAATATTACACATTAGTTATATTATATGTATACACAGTTGAAACCAGAAGTTTACATACAAAGACATAAAACCTTTTTTTTCTCATTCTGACATTAAATCAGACTAAACTTTTCCTGTTTCAGGTCAGTCAGGATCACCAACATTATTTCTATTTGCTAAACACCAGAATAATGAGAGTTGATTCGCACATTTCAACCAGAACACTTCATCCCTGGGACGCAGAACCGTCTCCTTCCTGAGCCTATGATGGCTGGACATTCCCATGGTGGTTCTACTTGATAGAACTGTCTGAACAGATGAATGTGGAACCTTCAGCCATCTGGAAGTTGTACCCAAGGATGGACCAGACTGGTGGAGGTCCACAGTTCTCCTCCTGATATCTTGGCTGGGTTCTTTAGATGTGGTAGAGGTGTGCCTTAAAATACATCCACAGGTGTGCCTCCAGTTAACCAATCAAAAGCTACCAAAGCCGTGACATCATCATCTGGGCTTTCCCAAATGGTTTGAAGGCATCTTAGTGGATGTAAACTTCTGACACTGAAGAAACTAATAAAACACTCTCTCTCTCGTTATTCTGGCGTTTAGCAAATAGAAATAATGTTGGTGATCCTGACTGACCTGAAACAGTGAAGTTTTTATTTTTCATTTAGTGTATGTAAACTCTTGGTTTCCACTGTATATATTTATACTACAAAATATGAATAAGAATCCTAAATCAGAAGATGATGTTTCTACCCGCAGGCATCCATCCAACTTGATGTTGGACCGATTAAGCGGCAAGATCCTCCACATTGACTTTGGAGATTGTTTTGAGGTAAGCAGAGATTTTTTTCTCTATATGTTATCATCAGGGGTGTTTGGTTATGACACTGATCCTCATATCGACCTTCACTAGGTGGCCATGACCAGAGAAAAGTTCCCTGAAAAGATCCCGTTCCGACTGACGAGGATGCTGACCAACGCAATGGAGGTATGTGACTCCGCTGTGCTTTATGAGACAGTAGAAACGTACGTATCACTCTGTGCTGAAAAGTCCAAAAGTCTGTCGCAGGAAATTCTCTTCAGCAGCTTCTTATTTTTACAAATGATTCAAGTGTAAAACACTGCAAATATTCTTCTACTGGACTTCCATTAAATGCTGTCTGAGCTCCTTCTGTGTTTTAATAGAAATAGTGATCACTCTCTGTCAAGTGTGCAGGGTTTTATCAGAAGCCGTGGCTCATTGTACCTCACTGAGCAAACAACAAAAGGAATTAAACATGAAGGCAGCAAGAAATAGAAGAGGTCTAAGCTGTCTCATCTCGTAAGCTGTTGGAAAAGTTCTAGAAATGTTCTGTTCCTCCACTAAACCCCAATAAGCCCACACTGGTTCCTGCTTTTAATTACTAACTACATTAAGGGCTGTTTAAGGTCCTGCATGCTTTAAGAGTGAACCTGAGAGTGTTCTTGCACTCCCAGCATCTGAGGAACTAAAGATTGTGTTTATTGTTGATGGCGATCCTCAGTGTTAGCACATTGTGAAGCTACTTTAGCTAACATTAGTGTTGATGGTACAGCCACATGTCAGAGCTCTTCAGAAACTTTACACAACCAGTAAACAAGGACTGGGTGGGTCGCTGTGGGTTTCATGTCACCTGCTGTGCTCAGCCGGGATTTACATCCGTTTGCTTCTGTCCTCCTCCCCGTCTTCACTGCATTTTAATAATTCCCAGTCATGCTGTTCTAATTTGCATACTTTGACTCATGCTGCCTGAAATGCAGCCAATTATGACATCACGTTAACCTGCAGTTACTTCAGAGGCATTTCCTAACCGTCAGTCTGAACCATTGAAATACTGATTTTGTAACCCCGATGCTGTCTGACAGATGTGACAGATGTTCAGAGAAAAAAATTACAAGCAATATAAACCACTGGATGCACGTCATTCCTTCACGTCTGTGTCGACTGTCATGCCATCGATCACAGAGAGAGTCTTCTTCCTCACGAAGGCATGGACGGCAGCTATATTTCAAACTACAGACCCTGAAACAACCTGTTTACAAAAGGGCTAGAATCAGGGACGATAAAGTCGTGGTGAAATTAACCATTTCTGGTATTTTGAATTGAACAATTGAAGGACACAGTATAAGGACAAGTGAGAGTTTAATCTACAAACACTAGACAGAAACGTAGTTATCTGATCGTGTGAAAGGTTTTTTTCCTTGTCAGTGATGTTTGTGTCTGGTTGTGTGTCAGGTGACGGGCCTGGATGGTAACTACAGGATCACCTGCCACACGGTGATGGAGGTGCTGAGGGAGCACAGGGACAGCGTCATGGCCGTGCTGGAGGCCTTCGTCTACGACCCGTTGCTCAACTGGAGGCTCATGGACAGTAAGGCGTCATCAGCTTCTAACATTCAGGACATCAGCTGATGGACCAGTTACATGGTTCATCCTGAAATAACCAACACAGAGAACATGACAGTAACAGTGAACTAGTGAAGGTCAGCAGGGATTACTCGTCTCACAGCTGAAACTGAAAGAGTACGCAGCGTTAATTTTAATCACATCAGACAGTATTGGATTTCTGTTGGTTTGCATTTTGGAGAAAATAGACCAACTGGTTAAAGAAGTGGTGCAGACATCTAGAAGTCATTGATTCAGTTGAATTGAACAAAGTGGATAAAGGTGACCTTCAGCAGGACGTTTAATCAACAACAGAAAAATCCATCAGTTTCATTTTACAGTCGTGACTCGATAATCGACCCGTAACAATCCTAAACCTGCTATCCGACAGGTTTTTAGGAAAAACCAACAGAACCCATAAAAACAGCCTTAACATAGCGACAGCCTTGGATTCTGACTCCGACATGACATTTAATGTCACCAATCAGGATGACGGCGTATTATCTGACTGAACAATCCCACAGATTGGCTACGTTCACACTGCAGGACTTGATGCTCAATGAGGATTTCTTTGTGACTTCCTTCACGTTTCCACTTCAATGCGACTTGTATGTGATCTGCTGTGTGAACTTCATACGAGCCAAAAGTGTCCCGCATGCGCAGAAGAGGACACGACGACGTCACACGCAGCGAGCGTGCTCAGTGTTTATGGAAGTAAACATGGATGGTAACGGTGGAGCGTATCTGCCACTCCCCCGCCGCCACCGATGGAGGAAACAGAAGTGTGAGCGCTAACTAAACTAGCATCAGCAGCCAAGTACTGCCTGTGTGTTCTGGACACTTCCACCCCGTCAGAGCGCTGCCCCGGAGTGGAAGTGTCCCCTGACCGAACCGAATATTCTGATATTCATCATTAATTGGGCCTGAACATCCAGAGAGCAGAAAGTTCTATTGGGTCCAGTCCTACTAGTTATTATAACAACTATGAACAATAATTAACAACTAATGAGTCTTCCGGCATCAAGCCCTCCTTGTATCTGGACCTCCGTCTTGACAATCCGACAGCCTTGCTATCCGACATAAAGAAGGTTTTACATTCAGTGTTGGATTATTGAGTCACGACTGTATCTCACGTTCATTCTTTTGAGTTTTGATTAGAATAATTGATAATCATCAAGGAATCTGCAGATATTTATTTTTTCATTAACCTTCTAAACCACAGGTGTCAAACTCAGGCCTGTCATTAATTTTGGCCGACGAGATAATATCAGATATTTATCAGAGCTGGCCTATGCACCACTAATACTACACGTCCCAGAATGCTCTGCTGGTGCGTTGATGCATCAATGAAGACCTGCAGGCGTCCTCTTCCCCTTCTGTTGACATTCATTATCCACCTCATGTAACCGGGGGAAGATGTAACACTTGTTTTTGTTTTCACAATTTCTGACTCTGATGAATTTGTAGTTTTGGAGATTTGTTTTACTAGACAACATGCATTCAGTCCCCTCCTGGTGGATCTGGAGGTTCAGAGTTAAACAGTTTTGGATGATTTCTGGTTTCTGCCACTTCAGGGTGCATTAGTTAGAAGCTCATTAGTGCTGCTCATCAGCAGCAGTAGAGGACTCTGTTCATGAGCATCTTCTTAATCTAGCAGGAAACCTACCTGTTGGGTGATAAAATCTGGGATCCAACTTTTTGCATGTGAGTGGTTAAAAAAGCTTTTCTGCTTTCAGAAAGGTCAGAGTCGTGTTTGTTCTTGATGTGTGCAGAACGGAAAAGGAGCACTTTAAAAATGACGAACATAAAATGTCATGTCATGGAAAATGCTTCTGTCTCCTCCACAGCCAACACCAAAGGCAACAAGCGCTCACGCACCCGGACGGACTCGTACACCGCCGGACAGTCAGTGGGTCAGTCCACAGCACAAACTGCTGCTTCTAGTCTGGAACCTAACCATGCAAATCCTGGTTTGAATGTGTGACTGTGTGTTACTGTCTGCAGAGGCCCTCGAGGGGATAGACCTCGGAGAGACCACGCACAAGAAACCAGGGACCACGGTGCCTGAATCCATCCACTCCTTCAGTGAGTTACCAGCTCACGTAGTCCTTCCACAACCAGCTCTCTTGCTGTCGTAAATGATCGGCGCGACTGCCGTGCTATCATGATCTACTTCAGCTGCAAAGAGACTCGGTGCAGCAGGAGCACGGTTTGTTTTTCTGAAGTTGTCAGGAGTTGTTGTTGTTGTTGTTGACACCAGCCTGTTTGTGTTGTTGCAGTTGGAGATGGGTTGGTGCAGCCTGAGGCACTGAACAAGAAAGCTATTCAGATCATCAACAGAGTCCGGGACAAACTTACTGGTGAGTTCTTCAGTAACGAGCAGCAGCGAGCTACGAACGAGGTCACGTGACGACAAAAAGTTTGAGTTCTTATCCACGAGCAAATTCATCCAGCAAATCCAGAGAACCTGTTCGCCCCGTCACTCGCCCTACATGTGCACAATTAAAAGTCTTTATTGTGAAATAAGTGCATGATAAAAACCATAAACAATAATTGTAAAGAAAATGTCCAGGATGACTCATACTATCAATAACCACATTGTTAAACTGCAGGTTAGCGCGCTAGAGGAAAGGTGTCTGCAGATGTTGCGTTGTCCTAAAAAGACGTCGGTGTTTCTGATGAAATTCTCGAGTTCTGACGATCGAAGTCTTACGAGTGAAGTGTTGTGACGAGAGTTTGTTCCCTACAGGACGAGACTTTTCCCACGACGAGACGCTGGATGTGCCAACACAAGTCGAGCTCCTCATCAAGCAAGCCACGTCGCACGAAAACCTGTGCCAGTGTTACATCGGATGGTCAGTACTCTGCTTTAGTCAGAGCAGTGATGCAAGAAGGCCTCAAGTCTTACTGGAAGTTGCAGAAATTTGAGGGCAAAAAAAATAATGATATTAATAATAAAAAAAGACAGAATTTCTAACTATCCAGTCCTGCTCTCTTGGCTCTCCCCTCTCTGTTCTAAGGCCCTGCTGCCAGACCAGCTAAAAGCCAACATTGGGTTTATTAGTGGTCCCTCCTGACCCTCCATTCACCACCACATTCTACACCAACACTAGAGATGCTGGCTGTTACCCACGTTGGCTGCACTTTCCCAACCATAGTCTTCTGCTTTTGTTGTTTCTCACTGATGTTATCAGCAACTTTCTGCACCACAGTTTCCATTTTGTCTACATCTGCTTCCCCTGGAGGTCATATGAGGCGCTGCTCTGCCCCACGGCTGCTCCCTCTGGCTCAATAATCTCATTCAAATCCAATCATGTGGAGAATATCTGTCATAGTTTCTCCTTCACGTGTGTGATGCAGCCTGATTTCTAAACCTCGCTGTGTGAGCCCTTAAATCCAATGTCCCAGACTCCAGTGTTCCCAAACCTGGAACCAGAGCCCAGGTGCAGAAGTTTCAAAGGCCTGCCCAGTGATGCCAAACAGATGTAGTCGCCCATGTTTGCTATCCTACCTGTGTTTGACTTGAACCTTTTTTTTTTCTCCAGGTGTCCGTTCTGGTGAGGAGCGTTCTCGTTCAGCCGACGGACAAACTACGAAGGAACACTCAACTCAAATCCACTGAAAAAAGTCCTGAAGCAGCAGCGCGGAGCCTTTGGAAAGTTGTTTTTGTTGTTTGTTTTTCTACTTTGCTGTTGTAGAGGTGTACCGTTGACCAGCGGCACGTCTGAAGCTTGTGAGAAAGAGTTTTTACCTGATTACTATAATTTAACTATAATTGTGGTCATTGCTTCAGATGATGACTTAATTTTGTTTTGCATCATAATCACTTGCTAAAAGCTTTCTACAGCGGCCATATTGTAATAACTTATGACATTTCTTATTACACGTGCACTGTATGCTTCTTACAATCCCACCCGTCTGTCCCATCGTTGTGTATTAATGTGACAAACTTCCATCAGATCGTAATGCCTTTTACTAACTGAAACATTCTTCGAAGGAAACTCAGCCGAGCAGATTTGATTTGTAATGATCATGATGTACTGTATGGGCATTTGTGTGCCATTAAAGCCTGTAAACA